CACACCAAGCCGTTTTCAACAACTGAGGACTTGCATTGCAGCTTTAAACAAACCACGGAGTCTCGTTGGCTTCATCCCACACCCATGGAGAACCATCAAAACTAACCTACTTGTGTGTACAGTTTGTTTTGGGATCTGGTTCTTTTTTCACAAAATAATTTATATTTTTAGGCCACCTATTTTTTGTTCCATTACTATTGTTAGAAAAGTGCGCGTGTTCGCCCAATGACCTCCCTATATGTCCAGGAAGATAATATGTTAAACTTAGTACTTTTGTTGTTTTTAATCTATTCTTATCCCAAACTGTCACCTCTCTCTGATAATCCTTATTTATAGCTGAAACGAATCCAGCTTCTTCATAGCACCGCCGACCGCGATTGTGCATCGAATAAGCCAAACAGTTCGCAAACGTTTATTGGTTTCCATTCTTCTACGACGTACACACACCCTACACCTCCTTCCGCCACCGTCCGACTCAGTCCTTCGCTATCGTCAACAAAGTCTCGGCCAATGGACAGCAGTCTGCGGCTCAGCTCGTCTACTCTAAGTGGTTCCCAGTCGGTTGACAGTATGCAGTCACATGGCTACGGTCAGGCGGACACAAGCTTGGACAAAACAAGGTTGGACGAACCACTGGTTGTGGAAACAAGGCGATCGGTATGTTGAATGGGCCCTTCAAGGAATTTTCTGACTGTCTGTTTAAACGGCAGACAAATACCCTGAGCTTAGTTTTGTCCTAAGATAAACATAATGGCTTTCCCATGAAACGAGTGACTGCTTATACATTTAGTTTGTTTCATCTCTCCTGACCTTGTCGTGAGTCTTGGCTTATCAATTTTGCTGGTGCTGGTAGATGTTTCCCAATCTCAGTCCGTAGTTTACAATTTTTGTTTTATTGTTGTGCGGCTTTTTGTTTCAATTTCTGTGGCATAATCGAACTTAGGTACAAATAACCAAGAGCTAGTCAACTATACACAGCACTGTACTCTTTGAAATCATTTTAATTTTTTTGTGGACAGGTGGGATGCTACTTGGGATACATAAAAATGTTTCTGCATATGATTTAAGAGGGCGAGTCAGAAATATCCAAAATTCAGGGATATTCCGGATCCTTCATCCCGTGGAAAATCACCCGGATGCCTCATCTCACTTTATTGTTCAAGCAGTATCGTATTAGCACTGTGAACAGTTTTGGTGGCCTCTACAATCTGGCAGAACAATTCTTATCACTACTCCACATCGTTTTTGCAGTACTTTTTGAACCACTTGGCACACTAAACAGACGAATCCATTCACCTGGCGACCCTTTGTGCTCGTTTTTTACCGATTCCGAATGCTATGAAATCTACGTGAAGTAACGCTGTCCTTGAAAATTAACAGGCAATTTTTCGGTCTCCTAGTAGACAACAAACTTAATTCAAATTCAAGGTAAAGTAGACCTGAGAATGGTAGATATGTTCCACTGTGGGTGACAAACGGACTGTTCGTTTCAAGTTGTGAAATTCTACAGTTACAGTAATGCTCTTGGTTATCTGGTGGCTACTCTACAGAAATCCGCTTGCCCTCCTTACCTCCGCGGGCCTATGGTCGAGTGCTATCGACTTGGACGAACATGCATGGTACTAGCGCAGACAAATTTCAAATAACTTAGAATAGGTGAACATGATTGGACATAATTTTAAAGCCAAACCTAATTTGGGCGAGAATACTGAAAATGTGTTTACACTATTTGGCTTAAACGGGGTTCCTTCTCTCTCAGAGCACTTGTTTTGGCCAAAGACCACCAAAAAGAAAACGCATTGGACTTGGATTTCGGTTTCATCAAAGCTCAGATCTGTGGATATCCTCGATTGCGCCAGAATTTTGAATCCGTATGGCACCACTACTCAACGTACACACACTGGGAACACTCAAACTGTTACAATGGAATGTGCAAATGTATTCAAGCTTTGGTGATTGGTTTCAAATAAAGCAAGAGACAGATTAGCAAATAACCGTAACTAGAGCAATTTTGAATTCAGCGACTTATCCTCTTAAATTAATCAGCTAGAATCATTTATTCAGGAATAAAATGACCGGTTGCAAACCTGATATGTACCTACGACAGTTTATAGTGATCAGTACGCGAATAATCGCTTGGAAAATGGATCTTTCTGGAACAGCTTTTGACAGCACAGAATTATGAAAACTTAAGCATGTTTCATTAGCCTCTTCCCAAAACAAATATGTGGATACACAAATAATCAAGTGAAACAGGATTTTATTTTGTGACTCCAGGTTTCGCCCCTAACTCTAGCAATACTGTGACATTAACCTACTGCAACATCCTCATTCGTTCTGGGTTGACTCATGCATTGTCCAAACAATATTAGAATCAGATGTACACATGAAAAAAACTGAAGTAATAAAAGTCCTCTGATATGGTCTGGCTATCAAAATAAGTCCATACATAGGGCACCGTCAAAACTACAGCGTAATTAATCAATGAAATTTTTCGTTTAGTTTGAGGATTGCTTATATTGGCGTAAGACGTTGAAGTCGTGGCACAGTAACTGATTTCAACCAACGCTCTCTAAAATAACTCCGTAGTTAAGGAGTAACTTTACTGACCGGAAGGTTTGTGGTTCGATCTCAACCCCGATATCTCAACTGCTCTTGTCTAGGCTTCGGCCACTTGGCCGTAGCCCAGCCCTGGTGGCATGGCAGCTGGGCACCGGAGGGTGAAATCACTGAAAGACTGCATTCTCCTGTGACATATAACTGATTATCATAGATAACATGCGATCGTTTCGGCAGTTCAGGGTAAGCATTTCTGAACACTAATGCAGCTATAAGAAACTCAAAGAAACCCAGTCTGGTTGATCGGAGACTTGTTTCAATCTGTTGTGACGCATAGAACGGATTATAAAATTTGTTTCCTTTGGCTTTTCATGTCCTGAAAAGGTCGAGTTCCGGATCGCAAAACACTTGAATAACAGCTGCACTTGAAAGATTATATCACTACTTTCTTGTGCGTCGATTGTACGGGATGTAAATCTATATCACGTGGCAACTTAAGCCCATTTAGACTTTGCCGTTAGCCAAAACGCAACCAACACGAACGCTGTATTAGGCCTTGCGGATTCACTTCCTACTCAGTTGTGTTTATATCTTTTGTCAAGTTGAACGTTCAGGCATCGTGATTTCCTTTCCTGTGAATCACACTGCTGTGTGTGCCACTTAAATACTTCGGTGTAACTTGATCATGGTTTGCGAAACGTTTACCAAATATTCGCAGGCTAAAATACCGAACTCGGCAAACATACCCGTTGAACCCCAGTCGACAGCTAATTAACCCATTTTAAGTATCAATATTTAGGTATATTCGACAAGTAGGCTCTTGTAAGTTGGTGTATCAAATCTCTTCTGGTTCGCATACATATTTGTGATGCTTCCGTTTAATGCTGATCAGATGTACGGTAGAACATACACTTCCCTTTACTTGCGTTCCTCTGACAAAGCCAACGGATTAGTTCTACCTCACATTCATCCTGTGGGCTTCGGGGAAGGCAGTTGTGCCATAATGTCAAAAGATGCTGATCTTCATTCAAATATGGACATCAGTTATTGTATCGAGGTGGGAAAGCCAATACAAAAAATAGTCAAACATTTCACTTGTTCGCACCTGCACTCGCTTTGGCCGGATTAGTGGACAAGACGTGTTGTTCTCGGAACGATACAAGCAAGCTGATAAAAGTCATGCGGAAACACGAGTGCATCGGTTTTATTGCAATATGTTGCACAACATTTGCGATGATGGTTTCGCTTCTTCCAGAACTAGCGTTAATAAGCATTATCCATTAAAAGATTGGTGCACCGAGGATCAGGAGCGCAGACGCGTGAGGTAACACGCAAGCAACAGGACGCTAGAATATTTAGATATCAAACCCCAAATCTAGCGCTCGTCCAGCTCAATTCAACAGCAATTTTCTCAGTTGTCATTTTTTTAACACAGCTATTTTTATTCTTCGTCAAACTTGGAACAGCCCAAATCAGTCTTCAAGAATAGACATGGAGCTAAAAAGAATCTTTCAGACGTTTTGTCCCTGGTCGAAAATGGAATAGTTGCTTTCTACCTGGTTAGCTTGATCGGTAAAATGAATAACTTCGACAAACTGGTTTCGCGCCGCACCATAAAAAAGTTCGGTGCATGCTTCGAGACATTTGTTTAAATTCGAGATTGAGTGAGGAATTGCACAATTTGATGGGCTTCTGGTAGTACAAAACTCGAATCTGGTACAGTCCCGAGAATAACCGTATAAAATTTGCAGGGGGTGCATGCGAGCAGGATTGCTGAGAGTGCAGTCTATTAGCTTTTTTCGTCTTGTGACCCACGGAAAAACTCAATCAGAGCAAAAAGAAGTTCTATAGCTGGTAATGCTTGCTTTAATAAAAGTTAGGATGTAGAGGCCACATGAGGTATTTACTAAGCTGGCACAAAAACTAATATTACCCTAAAATGTAACTTTGTTTGGAGATGTGAAAATGCTTATCACAGCAAACACAAATTACAAAGTTCAGGCCATAAATGATTCACTGACTTTGGCTCCAAGATCGTCAGACAGAGAAATGTGTATGATTAAACATTCAAAGTGTTTCAAACGAACCAACTTATTCTTTTAGCTGTGCTTGTTTGAAAAATAGTCATTACGTTGTGGACTGAAGAAAAAATGATGTGACGATATAACACGACTGTCGTCTGAAACCTGAGCTGTCTGACAGCTGCGCATCAAAATTGTTTCTCTCATCGCGGTCATGTTGTGTTATGTTGGGTAGCAACAACAACTCAATTTCGGTAGAACACGTGACAGAATGTAGCGGGCATTTTGTGCAAGAAAATAAACTAATCCCAGCTTGTTCAACTGTCTCCCCAGCGGTGTGGAACTGCACCAGTTACACTGAACTCGGACAAGTTTTTAGTGCTGCTTCTAAACCCTTCACTGAGTTAACTGGACAGATTGATGGATAAATCCAATCAGACAATGGTTCGCTTTATACCATCATCGTCATCATTGTTGACAGTACAAAATCACTGATGCTCAGCTGCCGTACGGCCATAACTTACTTGAAAGCCCCATTGTGAAGATTTTTGGATGAAAAAGCGACTTAGTGCTGGGCTACTACGATCATTCCGCGATGCTCACATCTCCATACGCTCGTTCAGGCAGTCTGGACAGGAAATAGCGGCAACCAGTTACAACAACCATACCTTGTACTTCTCCGACCATGCACGGTGGAGATCACCCGGACTTAATCCTGGGAGGTGAGTCCCACCGACAGCTCCCAGACATTTCGTAATCTGTTTCATACAGGTTAATGTGTGGCCCCCTGAAATGGTGCTCCGCTCTAAATTGAACGAACGATAATGTAGATTGCGCAACACATTGCCTAACCACAGAAGACTCTGAGATTGGGCAAGTTCGTGGACTGTGGTGCAAGTTACACGACCAAACACTCGCTACGGACAGGCCGACACCATCGTAACCCAACTATATTTCTGAGGTAAGCATGGTCCAGGACGTAAGGACGTCTCAGTTCTGCTACCAGAACAGGCCACGTCTCAGATCCATACAACAAAATAGCCCTTACTGTGAATTGATTCACACGTCCTCTAAGGTTTAGGGATATACCGCATTAACACCACTAGTGAGCTAGAGTGAACAAGGATCCTCTCCAGATAGCATGTAAATGCGGAGCCTTTTGCCAAACTCTCTTTATAATTTCATGCGCCAAAAATTTTGAGATTACACTCACAAGCATTCGAGCAGCCATTGCTTGAAGGCATACTAAAAAGAACAAGCTGCACAATTGGGTCGAATGTGTCCTGGAAATCTGCCAATACTAAAATTGTGGGTTTTTTTATAAGTACGGTGCTGTTCTGCCACCTAATAGATTGTAAAGATTTAAACAACGCAAACGCTTTCTAACTTTTTGCTTTCGATTCAATGCTTTGTGGTTCGCCATAATGTGACAAAGGATAAGTGATGCCAAGTGTCCCAGTACGACTCGGGACACGCTGATCACTACCGGTGCCTTCTTAAAAATGACGCGTTGTCGTAGTCTCCCTTCTCCGACTGCAGGCAAATAAATCACACAAGCGCTGACTGAGGGCTTCACATCATATTTGGGTAATCCTGAGAGGTAGCCATTCTATCCAGGAGCTCGGTGACGTTCGAGAGAACATGTTCGGTCAAAGACCTCCGAGACCGTATGGGGTTCAAGATTCACCGTTCAGGGTTCTTCTGCAACTCCAAAATCCATCTGAGTAGCAGCAGGTTGCTAAATGTTCTCGGCTTGGTGGTTGAAGCCCCCTTCTTTAATCAAGATGGCTGCACCATTGCTCCTTGACGGATTCTCTCACTGGTCATCTCCGTAGAACGGCCACACGCATCAAGTGATAACCTTCGAGCATTCCTGGTTTTCTGGGCTTCTTTCATTTCCCCAACCTTCCGTATCTGCGCACACATTCTAGTTCATTTGGTTTATAATTCACTCGACCAACTTATGTTCGAGACTGACGGGAACATCCCCCCGGGATCCATTACGCCGTAACAGGACACTCGAGACGTCGTGGAAATTGTTTTTGTTGGTGTCAGAGCTACAGTCAAATCGGGCCTAGACAGACACGACAAGTAGACAGTGATCAGCTTCCAGATTGCAAGACCCATTCGCGGACGTTGACAGCCGAACCGCACACAGGCGATTAATAATGCGACTCAGTCAAGCAAAGATACTTCCTTCCAGTAACTTAGGACAAGGTGGACCCCTGCAAATCCTTCGTCAGTTGTCTCTGGATCGCCAGCAGTGCATAGCTGGAGTAGTCAGTTCGGCAACCTTGCTCACATCCTGAATATTTGTGTCTGATACACAGCACATACCGATGTCAGACGAGTCCAGTGTGGGAGCAATAGAGGCTTTTTACTCTGCTTGCTTCGATATGCAAACGGTAAAGTAGACGAACTGACCATGCACCGGAGTTTAAAGAATGGCCTTAAGATTGCTGAAACAATCAGCGCCGCTGCACCGAGGTGTGTTGGCCATGCCTGATGCGAAACTAGGTTTCCAATCCTAACTGACGGGCCTACAAATAGAGAGCTATACTGAAGTAGGGTGATGGGAAAGAAGTGAAACAGAAAGGAGAAAGACGTCAGCAGTAGTCTTTGTACGTTTATCCGCCTTAATCTATCCGACAGGCAAAGCGGTCCAACTGACGGCACCGCTCACGGGCATATATGACCTGGGATTATAGTTAGTTTTAGGTATCATAGTCATATGAGGGCTGGGATACTGCCAAGCAACCCCGTCTATAATGCAGCTTATGAAAGTTCTCAAGATAAAAGTTTGGCGGAGAGAACTTACTACAATGTGTTTGGCGGGAAGTACTGCTGTATTTTTTTTAAAGGATGATTCGTCATACGTTTTCCAAATCCCAACCTGGAGGACCAGCGGACTGTGTTCGTCAGAGTTCCAACCAGTAACCAACTTGGTATGAGTAACTCTGTAAGTATTGCATTGACAACTCTCTCAGGATGGTTCAATGGGTCAAGGAAGGATAAGAACCGTTTCACCACTGTGAGGTTCCATTTCTTCGTACTTTGCACTATTTTGACAATTGTCAAGCGGAGGAATGCCTGAACAAACCAGATGACGCTACTCTTCTTGGGAATAATGAATGTTGATTGGATTTTACTGAACAAGATAGATCTTCCCCAAAAAATGATGGCAAACTATCGCTCTGGTTTCTAGATAGATCTGTTTCTTTACTGTCATCAGACATCCAAGCTTCCAGGTTCACCATTTTTGGTAGCCGCCCTGAAAAATGTATGGTGAAACTCGAGCACCATTTTCACTTTTAATTTAAAAGGCGTAAAAGGTATATATCCAACGAACTTGGTACCTTTACCCCTTCTAACGCTGCTCGCAAATAAATTGCAAGCTTTCTCTAGAGTCTTACTCTTTGAGAAGACATTACATTTCTAGTAATTTTTCATCACATTTTTCTGAATTCGTGAAACGATGCCATATGTGTGAATTTTCAAACTCTTTGAGCTCTGAATAACGTTTGCGTCAGTACAGCACTGACGTCCAAACTAGGCTATGCAGATTTTAAACTAATGAGTCATAATTGACGGAAGGCGAGCCACATTGCTACAAAAGCCTTAAACAAAAAATCTACCGCTTTTGTTTCCGAATGCTGTATTCATTTCGTTTATTTCCAAGTCAACTTATTGAAATCGCATTCGGTGAGGTTTGTCTGCCACGGTACACCTGGAACGTGGTTTTGTGGCGTTTCGTACGAAAGAACTCAACCACTTTGTTTAATGACACACTATTTAGTAAATAATACGACTTTTGCAAAATAGGCACAAATTCGGTTTGCCCGCAAAATATATCGCAAGAATGCATTGATGGGTCATTATCGCGCTAGAAGTGGACAGAGTGGTATCTGAAGCCACTCTCTATATCGGTAGGTTCTTGGAGCTTTTAGTGGTTTACACTCTCCCAGATTCTCGGTGGTTGTGCCTCAAGCGTAGAAAAATATTTGGGGTCACCCGAATGATCACAGGAAGAGAACTGGTTCAATTTTCTCGGGTTTGTTTAGTAATCTGGTGGCTAAAGCGTATACTCAACATGCTCGCTCAAAATTATTCTACCCAACACGACCCCCTTTCGTTCTTTTCATGAAGCAGTCCGATTGGAAGCGACCATCACTGGGTTCTCTTATTCAAAAGAATGACCACCAGTGGTCCAGCACCACTAGTCCTCCACTGCACCTGAGCAACCATTCTGGAAGTGGATCAAGTCGATACGCCCCGAGAACCTATAATTCAGAGAGTTCACCCAGCCCATCATCACCAAAGCCGAATCTCCAGGCTCCAAGCAAATGGAACTTTGAGCGACCCTCGACCATCACTTCGAATGTTCAGAGACCGCTTTCGATAAACGTCGGAACTTCAAATAGTTGGATGTAGTAAGTGTTTGTTTTACTTTGAAATTTAAGTCACATTCATCTCTTTTTTAGCAGTGTTTGATCAAAACTACTAAGGTGAATCAGATACAACTTATCCTTTCAATCAGTAATTAAATTTGATCAAATGAATCATGAGATAGCTCAATCAATAAATTTCGCCCATCTCCAACTTTGTGTACCAATCTGTTAAAGTCAGTTTTTGGCAGGACTATTTATGGTCCACTCTCGGCAGATGATCACTCATGCGTACTTTTCATTCCTTACACAAAATTATTCCGCTGGCATGAGAAAAAGCGCTCTGGTTAAGGTGGTTGAATCCACACGCTTAAAATAGCCCGTCTTACGTTTATAATCGATAAGGGGTAAAAAGGGCATATTGAATAATGCCGAATATGAAGGACGTTTATTGAGGACTGAGAAATTTTTCCTTCCATTTAACCGGTAAAGAACAAGGAGTTTCGGAACAGGGTGGTAGTACGATGGTTTTGAGTAGTGGTATAGAGCATGTAGATTGGAATGTAGACTGATTGATGTAAGTTCTCCCTACTTCTAACATGTGCTCACTGCATATAGGTCACAGTTATGTTCGCTGAGCCGGGCACACAACGGTGCGCCGTCTAACAAAATGCTAATTTACAGTGCACCATGACGGAACTTTGCAACATGTTGCGGTCGTTGATTGAAGAGTTAAATTCAGTTTCATCATTTCAACTTAAGGTGGATTCTTTGCAGAGAAACGACAGCACCGTTCACAGGACTCTTTCAATAAATTCATTTACACAATTCCACTTTATGACCTAACCTAAAGAGAAGCCGTGAAAAAGTAGGATTAGTTTCACAGACAACGTACAATGTGTGGCATTTAAGTACCTTTTTGAATGAATACATGCAAGGCTTTAACTTAGTACGTGAGATGAAATCATCAACTGCCGGCTGAATGGATTTCCTGATGATTTTAATCCCCCATCCAAATGATGTGGGATGTACTCGGTAAATTTCTATGCGGGAATGAAGGAAGTACCGGTTTTTTTCTACTAATACAACCTTTATTCTCTAGCAAGGCATATTTCATGTATACCTCGTTCACAGAAGTGTTGACCATTTGGTTGTATTTCTAAGGAACCCAGCGTCCCAAGGGATATTCGTCGCTGCCACTGGTACAAGACTTGGTGAGTTAGGGTTTACGCTAACTTAGAACAAGAACGCATAACTGAAACTCTCGCTGAATCAGCTAAGACGATAATTACAGAGTAGAGGGGAGAAAAAGGCAAACGTAAAATTATTTTTCACGTGTTGCATATAGGATCAAAACAGAACCTTTGCGTTTTTGCCTATTGGGAAACCAGTCTACAACTGACCACAATACTACCATCACTTTTATTATATACGCTTCGTTTTGTTCGTAAGTCAGATTTTATACTGCATCCACTGGTAATGGAAACGGCTGTAAACCTGTTATGCACAGACAGATAACGGAGTTTTCTTCTCTAACGATATAATCCCCGGATACAAGATGGCTCAGTGGTTAGAGCGCGAATTTACTGGCCGGAAGGTCCGTGGTCCCAACCCGATATCTGCTTTCCGACCAGACTTGGGCGACCTGGTATTATCCCAGCCCTCGCGCTTCCTTTGCGTGGCTAGACACCAAAGGGGTGCTACAGCTGAACGGTTATTCCTTTCCTGCATAATCTCTGTAACCATTATTATCATAAACAACAACATCAGCATCACATCGTCAGCACCATCGTCACTGCCACAAACAACATCATCAACGATATCATGCCAGTTGGCGGTAGTAATGGCAATAGCACCAGGGAAAATTGTCACGTGCACTGACCAACAAATGCTCTTGACCCTCAGCTATTCTTCCACGAGACTATGAATAAATACTGACCGAGTTTTGGGGTTCCGCTACTCGAAAGAACTCCTACCAAGAAAGGTGTTTTCTACTGTAAAATAAAAGCACAAAACCCCACGAGCAGACAGTATTTCTCTCTGCATAATACAATCATTTTTGGTTTTCTGAGGATGAACTAAACATTTTCCCGGCTTCGGTGCAAAACTAATTAAAATTTCTCCCATTTATCGATTTCACACCAGACAAATTTCCAAAATGTGTCGTTCAGTAACACATCTAAACTGGAAGCGAAATAGCTAGATAACCGGCCTGTTAACGAAAATCTGATTACACGAAACCAGAAACAGTCGTGCAAACTGCCTGACTAGTTTCCCAAACGAAATTATGGATGTTTACTCTTGCTAGTATTTTTGGAGACAGCGCTACAATGTTGCCATATAAACTTAGGTTCAGCACTAAGCACTGTATGGTGAATTTGACCGAAATTCAGTGACGGCCGACTATCAGTTTCCTTTTGGTTTGGAACTCAGTATCCTAAATTTGAACCTTTTTTGAATTTTAAACTCGGCAGTCCTAATTTGGTGTGTGTCATAACAGCAACGTGTGCTCTCTTCCGGAGGAAAACTTTGTGGTTAGCTTCACAAATTATACTTTACCGATCAGATCCATAAGATTTTCTCATTGCGGAACGTGGTCCGAATCGACCGTATGATCACTTGAGTAATAAGAAAATAATCAGAGTGTGCGTATCGCCACCTAATATTGAGCATTCGTATTCCCCTTGCTCCGAATAAGCATGGGAGGCTGAACCCGTGAAAGGAAAACCACATAACGGGACTGATCAATGGACAGCTTACTGCGACTGGATGACCAGATTTTGGCAACACAAATGAACTGTTGATGCACGGAAATATTGTATACTTGTGTTACTCTAAGTAATGCAGAAATTAGTGTGCGCATGGGAGAAATCGAACGAAAACGCAAAAAATGTCTGCTGGAATGGATTCTGATCAAGTTATCAGCACTGTTAAAACAGGCCTTTTGGAGGGCTCTTCGGGTATTTTCTCACAGTGAAAAGATTTTTGACGCATCATACTGTGATATGTTTAAGATTGAATATCTATCCGGACAGGTCAGTGACTGCTTAATTGATTGTGGTTCTCACGTGGTACGAATGAATTTAATTTAACTACGACTCTTTTTGTTTAACGTCATTGGTTGAGATTTTTCTTCTCCCTATATGCACAGCAATCATCCGATTATCCCCGAGCCCCTAAGGACAAACAAATCTGACACGGCTACGCAAACAGACGAGCTTCTTTCTCCTTCTTCGCTGACTCCAACCAATTCTGTAAGTGCACCAAAAACTTTCTACTTTACCGACGCATTGTTTCTTTCAAGAATCAGCCGATTAGTGTCTAAGCTACCGGTGTGGTTGCGCATACTTCTGACGAGCCATTTGAGTAGTATTTGTCCGTAATCCAAAGTAGCACCTGTGTAATTAACCGATCACCATCATCATCATCATCATCGACAGCATGACATCAGTGTTCAACACCGATGCTTCACTGCCGTAACCGATATTTGAGTTGGAATCTTTGGGCTATTCAGGCATCCTGTTCAGGTATGTCAAGTATTGTTTAGGAATACGTCCAATAACATTGTTTTTTAAACCGCCTGCAAATTTGCTTTTGAGTGACGTGACCGGATTTTTCCGACCACACTGATTGCGTTTCGCGACTGTGCACTACTCATCTGAACGCGTTCTCCATTTAACAGGTACGAGCTGTTATCATCAGTTTGACCAATTCGGTGAGCCCAAAGACACCCATGAAAATTAAGCTCGACACTTATTCTCTCACCTGCAGCTTCAAACATTCATTGCGTGTCGAACATAGAATTGACGGGTTCAGTAAGTAGAGTGGTGAGAAACCCAAAAAAGCCTCGGTTGTTGGTAACCGGCTTCCCAGAATATTTATTACGGCATGCTAAAAGTACCAGCCGTGGCAGTAATGTCTGGTGGTCCTTTTAGAGGAAAAAGATCCTCTGAAAAGGAACTATCCTTGTGTAATGTTTCACAGGTACGGACTACTCCAAATCCACCAATGCGGGGTGCTATGATTTCTCCGGACCATATAATCCTTAAATTCACGTTCATCAGCAACCCGCTGCGAACCGCTCAGCTTCAACATGGAAAAGAGTGAACCGATCCATCATCTTATGACGCCCTGTTGTTCGAACAGGTATCCAGTACAATCTCCTGGTTGCCTTAACGACGTAACAACAGTGTTACATGCGTGTCGTTAGCTGAACTATTTGGATTTATATTGCACTTATACGATCTATAGGCTTTTTTCACAGAGTCTACGAATAACTCAAGCTCATTCAGCTGTTCAACGGATTAACTAACCCAGATGGTCTATGCATCAGATGACTGATAAAGACTCTCAGTCACATGGACTATTCGAACTCCCTTCTGGCCGCAAGCCAGTAATTGTGTTCTGTTCGGCAATTATGAATTGAAAAGCCATTGAAGTAGCTGACAATGGCTCCCATGCTAAGGAATCCAAGTTTGCTAAAGCTAGGTTTGCAAGGAATTGCTGTGGGTCTCATCAGTTTGGTGTGTCTCAAGTGATTCCAACTAACGGCTACAAAATTTTTATGGAAAGATTGCGTCTTATGGTCGATTCCGCGCTACTAATGCCTTTAGTTGGATTCACAATTTTGCTGTATGACTTAGTCTTTTTATTGCACGAGACATTACTTGGGGTTCATCGGCTGTAACTTCTAATTGAGAGTTCAAAAGCCGACTCTATTTGCACTGTTCTGTTTGCCCTTTGTGTACCTGAGCATTTTGCCTTGCCGGGATATTATCGGGATAACAGCCACTCAACGTTCAAGCCAATGTATTCCCCAGGAGGACAAACTACTACCCAGGATGAACCATCCGGCTTACCCGGGTTGTTAATCAGATTGTCTGACAATGCGAAATCTGGTCATTCCCCGGAAGTCAGGCTATCTGTATGAGCTGTAGCGATTACGACGATGTCTATCTATTATTGGTTTTTCTTAGCTTTAAACCACGTTATTTCCAAACTTTACAACGTAACAAGCTATTGCAGAGAGCAACTTTCACACACGACAAATGTTATTCTTCTTCTCAATTTGTACTTTTAAAGCGCACACTTTTCCACAGGTTTTAGCTAAATACTATGCGTATATTTCCCTTGTGACTGTCTGAGAAAATATTACCAAGTCCATCCTTTCGACTGCGATGGATAGGACAACTGTGCACGGGTTTTAAAACTCCATCGATTTCAGAGGAGATAGAGACTCAAGTAGACTCAAGTAGAAATAAAGCAAATTTAAAAATACCATAGAAGGAGACTCGAACCTACGGCTTGTCGCTTGTGTACACAGGCTTCACGCCAATTCACTAAACCTCTGTTTAAGCAAACAGTCACAGATGCCATCACTGAGCCCATTGTGTGACTCTCAAGAATAAAGCCAGATACACATGATGTGAACAAAAGTCACTCACTAGGCAAGACTCCGACCTTCGACTCTTTGACCAATGTACATTGTTAGACTAGGGCACTGTTCTTGCAAGTTGGAACTGATGAATACTTTATAAATGCTGTTATTCCAGCTTAGCCTGCCATAGGAGACCCTCAAAACTCATTTCTTTCAGTGTCATTTGTTCCAAAACATCATAGTTAATGAACTAAAAGCAACTTTTGGAAAGGCGAATTGGAAAGCGAATTGATACCTCAACTGTATGATATAATAACTGCCGAATAAATCAGATAATAATCAGTCCTCGCGTAAGACCTGAGCTTTGATTAAGCGGGGAATTTTTCCAAGCATGTGAAAAAAATACCGAAAGGCACCTTTGCTCTAAGCTGAACTCGTCAGATTGGCGCGATGAACTCAAACAGTTGACATTTTGGTTGAAGCCCCCAAGCTATTAACCTCCGGATCAAGCTTCAGATGGTTGTTAGGCTAGGTTAACGGCTGGTAGAAACCAATTTTCTTATCAAGGCAGATTCACCAAATGTGCAAACAAATCGAATGCAGCATTGCCGGAGCGTCTAAATCTCAGACTTTAATACATTTCCGATTTTCCTTTTCCTATCTGGTAACTCTTAACAAGGATAGGAGCGCCCGTGCTTTAGACTTCTGTTTAAGCGATGTTCTCACCCCAGGATTAAAAGCCATTGTCTACTCGGCTGTAACTAATAGTCTCATTCTGCGAACGTCCCTTTTGAGATTTTCATAAATGCTTGAGCTTTGATAGCAAAAGGGAGAAAATAATCTGAGCAGGAGCACCATGCATTCCTAAATATCACATTTCCGCCTACTTAGTCTGAGGAGCTTGAAATAGGGTGCCATATCACTTTTTCTGAGCAACCTACGCATCGAACGTCATGAGGAACATACGATCAGACGTTTCCGCGTGTGGTATAAAAACTCCTCTTAATAGCTAATGAGCCCCCACACTGTGCAGTGATCGTGTTAACCTAAAGCTGTCATTTTTAAAGTGTCTTTCTAATAGAATTGAAGCAGTTATGGGCACTCAACGTTTCACAATGGGTTGACAATAAATTTTAAACCAAAATCCAGAGTTTGAGTGCAGAATACCTCGGATATAATAGTGCCATCGACACACTATGCAGAACACTTATGTTTCCGTTCAATTTTCTGTAGATTCCACTTTTTCCTCAACAAACTACACGTGTTCTTCCGCATATCGGTGAAGAAAATCCAGTGCTGGGTTGTTGGCCGAAAGTAGATGATGGATATGCAGAGTCCAGATGTAAAGTCGTCTCCGCTACCTGTCGTTTACAGATCATGTCTCCCAATACCGACTTAGATCAACAATATCCACACTTTTTTGAGAATATTAAAAAAGCGTGGCTGAAAAAAAAACAAGATAATTGGAGGAAATTTTAATGAAGAAATTTTTGTACCACGGGAGGTATCCCTAAATAGACAGACCACGTGTACTGTGCGCTCTGATGGATGCACCTATGTGTCTCCAGTTTTTTCATAGAGCATAAGAAAAATTGACTGGTAACCAGCCAATTACACACCGCTCAAACCACATTTGTTGGTATGGTAGTTCATTTGTCTTACTCCGTAAATTCCGTGAACTATTCACAATAACCGTCTAAGGCTTGTCAAATGGTGCAATTTCTTCATTCTTGATCTTTAAGAGAACGTGTCTACTCAATTCAGAACGTTTGAAAACAGTGTTAACTCTCTTGGTCCTTTAATTTTTTTTTGGTTAATCATAACGAATGGAAACATATATTGGTGAAACCATTTTGCTGCTTAGATGCCAACATGTTTAAGCACGTACCAGTTTTTAGGTCATGCCACGTTGTTCAACCCTACATTCCTCAGTGGAATGTATGAAAACATCGTTTTCAAGTAATTTTCAAATACTTTTGAGTAATTTTAGTTAGTCTTCCAAATACTTGATGACCTAACCCCTCAGGCCTCACAAAACTTCGACCCTCAAATAATTAAGGATGGCTTAAAAGACAATTATCAACAAATAAATTCAGAACGCCCCAAGAACGTAACTTGTTTAATGGCCCAGGTATTTTCCGCAGTTTATTATTCGCCTGTGTATTCTGCATGTAAAATTATAGGCATGACTGCATGATCTGGGCAACGAAACAAAATCTTAGATGTCTCACACCTGTGACATGGTGTGGTTGTAATACCCCGCTAGTTGTTAGAAAGAAGGGAATGCGACTGTCCAGAAAAGTACACCACAGTCTTTTCTGGATATCATTCGCGCTCGGGTTCTTCAGAATCCAAGGACGGCATAAATCCGGTAGACCTTTGTTCTGGTTGATACTTTTCACAATAAAGGGATCGTTCACTCAAAAGTGAAGTTTTCTCCTTCCTTTTTGGCGGAACTTATTATATATAAAGTTGCTTGGAACCCTTCGACAGCTGATTACCGAATTTGCGCTTCTTGGAGCTTGTCGCAGAGAACCGGTCTCCGAGGTTCCATAAACCTCGTCTTACTTTAACATTAAGTTGTAAGAAGGCGACGTCATCTGCAAATTAACTTATCGCTAACAAGCAGTTTGTTCTGTCAGTAGTACTACGTCTTGTGAAAAAATTTATACTGCGATATCACAAACTCTGTACTAAGATATGAGGAAGCCTTTGCGCATTACAACTGAAGAATATCACACTCTTGGGGCTTACTTGGGTCTCTAGTTAACGCCTAGTTTTCTCCTCATTGCTGCACTTGCCCGATAAGACGCAATTAAAAGAAAGCAATCGGAAACCTGTGTTTTTGATAATGTTGTGGAATATAGGTAGCTCGGG